TGTTACCGTTCCTAGGAATGTCAGCGAGGCACTTGCCCATCTTGGGTGGCGACAGGCAATGCTTGATGAGATGGCTGCTCTTCATACTAATCATACCTAGGTCTAGTCGCTCTACCTCCTGGAAAGTCATTGGTTGGATGCTAATGGGTGTTTACCATCAAGTTTGCTCCTGATGGTTCTATTGATTGGTTGAAAGCCCGTTAGTTGCCAAGGGCTATGCCCATGTCTTGGGTCTCGATTAAGATGACACTTTTTAGCCAATTGCTAAAATTGCATTTGTTCGCTTACTCTTGGCCATTGCAGCTATCAATCATTAGACTCTTTATTAGCTTGATATAAAAAAATGCTTTTCTCTGTGGTGACTTAGAGGAAGAAGTGTATATGGAGCAACCTCTTGGTTTTGTTACTCGGGGGGAGTCTGGGAAGGTCTGTAGACTACGTAAATCCCTTTATGGACTAAAACAATCTCCTTGAGCTTGGTTTAGTAGATTCAGCATTGTTCTAGAAGAGTATGGAATGATTCACAGTACTACAGATCATTGTGTTCTATCATCACTCACCATTTGGGTAATACATATATTTGGTTGTTTATGTGGATGGCATTGTTATTATAGGTAATGATCAGGATAGGATCTCTAATAAAGGATTTGATACAACAAAGGATTTGGGTAAGCTCAAGTATTTTTAGGGCATTAAGGTAGCTCAATCATCAGCTGGAGTTGCTATATCACAATGGAAGTATGCTCTTGATATTTGAAAGAGATAGGGATGCTGGATTGTTGACTAGTTGATACTCTTATGGATTCAAATGTCAAACTTCTATCGGGACAAGGGGAGCCTCTTGCAAACCCAAAAAGATATCGGAGACTGGTTGGAAAACTCAATTACATCACTCTCACTCATCCTGATATCTCTTTCCCTGTAAGTGTGGTAAGCTAGTTCTAGGAATCTCCATCTGATAGCCATTAGGAAGCTACAGTTCGGATTCTTAGGTACTTCAAGGGATCCCTCAGTCAAGGACTCTTATATGAAGACATGGGGAATTCTCAAATAATTGGCTATGGTTTTAGTGATAAGGATGATTCTCAAGATGATACTCAAATTGTTGGGTATAGTGATACGGACTGGGCTAGATGCCTGATTGATTAACGCTCTACTTCAAGGTATTATGTGTTTATTGGTGGAAATCTGATTTCCTAGAAGAGTAAGAAACAATATGTTGTCTCTAGGTCTAGTGCTGAAGTTGAATATCGTGCCATGGCCTTAACTACATGTGAATTTATTTGGTTAAAACAGCTTCTTCAGGGATTAAAATATGGGAATGTCACTAGAATGGACTTGATCTGTGACAATTAGGCTGTAATGCATATAGCCTTAAATCCAGTGTTTCATGAGAGAACTAAACATATCGAGATAGATTGTCATTTTGTGCGAGAGAAGGTTCAATCCGGATGTCTTGCTATGAAGTTTGTTAGCTCCAATGATTAACTAGCAGGCATACTAATCAAAGCTCTTTGAGGACCTTGAATAAAGTACATTTGTAACAAGCTTGGTGCGTATGATCTATACACACTAGCTTGAGGGAAGTGTTAAGAATTAGATTTATTCTTTGTATTTATTAGAGTTAAGAAGAGTAGTTGTTAGGTGTAAGTATTTATTAGTAGTTGTTTGGTGTAAGTATTTGTTACTCTGTCTTGTATATTCCCTATATATATGGAAATTGATAGATCAGTAAAAGCATGCTAACTACATTTTCTAATCTCTTTCTCTCCTTTAATTCAATAATGGGCTCGACGACCACGCTCAAAATGGCCACCATCATGATCGTAATGATGAACACGAAGATTGCAAGTGACGGAATAGGCACTGATGAGAATACAAGAAGCCCATGTTGTTTACAAAAATAGAGCTCCCGAAATTCACTCGAGAAAATGCTCTAGGGTGGCTTTTGAAAAGTGGACATTATTTTGAGCTCGATGAAATCCAGAAGACTCTAAGGTCAAGATTGTAAGCATGCATCTTGACTTAAAGGCATTTCAATGGCACTTAGTTATGAAAAATATTGGGATGGGGCATGATCGAAATGGGAAGAATATATCAAAGAGATTAAAGATAGCTTCGCCCAACACATGAGACCCCTATGAGTGACTTGGTGCGACTAGAACATTGTGGGTTATTGGCTGATTATAATGAGTGAGTTCCATCTCCTGTAAGCTTTGATTGGCAGAAGAGTACCTTGTGGATGTATATCTTTCTAGGTTATGTGACAAATATGAGGGTCTTGTGTGTTTGTTTAAACCTCATACCATGAGGGAAGCTTGAAGTGTTGCAAGGATGCAAGAAATCACTATTAACAGACAACTCAGGAAAAAATCCTAGAGCAAGACCAGTGGACACTTGACACCTACATCTTCTGCCACACAACCCTTTCACCAAAACACGTGGACTTCATATAAGAATGCCTTGATAGGTAGTGTGTCCCACACATAAGGAAGTCTACATCTTTATCTTCTAAGAAATCTTCTTTTATACCATAAAATATTAGCACTTCCATTAACATTCTCTCTACAGAGGAAGAGGCAGAGCATCAAAGCAAAATCTTATGTTTTTGTTGCCATGAAAAATTCTCTAGAGATCATAGATGCTCTCAGTGCTAGAAGTTACAACTCCATTTTATTGAAATTTAAGACACTCAAGAAGAAGATACTCCTTTCGAGGAAATTATTGAAGAAGAGGAAGAGGATGACAAACCCAATATTTCTCTTCATGCCATTGATGGAGCATCTTCCCTGCAAGTTACAGGACATTATGGCAAGAGACAGCTTCAAATACTCATTGACAACAGCAGTACACCTGATTTCTTGGACTATGATATTGCCAAGAAGTTGGGGTGAAAGCCAGAGGGAACAAACTAGTCTTGGGTTGAAGTAGCAGGGGGAAGAAATTGAAAGTTTATGGTATCTAGAAAAATTTTAAATGGAGAATGCAGGGTCTCTAATTTACTGTTGACTTTAGAATTCTTGAATTTCATACTTATGATTTAGTGTTATGGCTTAAATGTCTAAAAAAGTATAAAGCAACTTAGAGCATTAGTGCCTAAAATAAAATTGCCTTTTAGGATTATGAGTCATTGACTATGTTCTTTTGGCTTGAAGGAAAATTATGCAAGCTTCAAGCTACGCCACCTAACACTACGAATGGTACAACCAAAGAACTTGGAAATTAAGGATTTGCATGAAGATCAAGTCTTTCTATGACCAAAGGACAAGAGAAGGTCGAATGTTTTTCTGTACAGGTCTGTTCAGAAGTCCCAGAAGCGATTTCTGGTACTTTACAAGCATTCTTGAACCTTTTTGACGCACCAAGAAGGCTGCCACCATTTCGGGAAGGTCATGACCACCCCATTGTCCTCCAAGAAGGCACTAATCCCATTAATTTGAAGCCATATAGATATCTGTCAGCTCAAAAAGATGTTATTGAAGGGTAGGCGGGAGAGTTGCTGCAAAGTAGAGTGATTCAAGAGAGTTCAAGCCCATTTTCAGCTCTTATTGTTTAAGTTAAGAAGAAAGATGGCATTAGAGGATGTGTATAGATTATAGGGAATTAAATAAAAAAATTGTGAAGAATCAATATCCTATTCCCTTGGCAGAAGATCTCTTTGACAAGTTAAGTGTTGCAAAATGGTTAACAAAATTGGATTTGAGGGCTGATAATCATCAAACTAGAATGGTGCCTCAAGATGTCCTAAAAATTACTTTCAAGACTCACAGTGGGTATTATGAGTGGTTAGTTATGCCATTTGGTTTGACTAATGCACCAACAATTTTCTAAGGAGCTATGGACAGCATTTTTTGCCCTTATATGAGAAGGTTTGTTTTAGTGTTTTTTGATGACATTTTGATTTATAGCGCTAACCTTTATGACCATTTGGAGCACCTTAAGCAAGTCTTCTCTATTTTGAGAAAATATCAGTATTATGTCAAGAAGTGCAAGTGCCCATCTGCAGCAATTGAAGTTGAATATTTGGGTCATCTAATCAGTGATGGAAAGGTCAGAATAGACCCAAAGAAGATTCAAGCTGTTGCTGAATGGCATGAACCAAAGACTATAAAGCAACTTAGAGCATTTTTAGGGGCGGTTGTATACAAGCTTGAGCTGCCACCAGAATCCAAAAGACATCCTACTTTCCATGTGTCTTTATTAAAGTTGTGTCCTGATCCTAAAGTGAATCTAAGTCATCCCTCACTTGATTGGCCAAAAATACCATCAGTTGCGGAGCCTAAAAGCATTATGCGAAAGCAGATTGGTCGCAGAAGGGGGAAAATCATTGTTGAAATCTTGGTTATATGGAAACAATTGCCAGAAGAGGAAGTATCTTGGATGGCTTTGCGTCAATTTTAGCAGAAGTCTCCTTAATTTTTTGTAAATGATCCTTGAGGGCAAGGATCTTTTTGAAGGGGGTATTGTTATGATTTCATAGTAACGACAGCAATTAGGTTTATTAGTTATAAGGATATAGCCATTAGGAAGAGGATTAAGCTTATAAATACTTGATTCCTATTGTGTGTGAGACTTGTTTTTAATAAGATTGTGTACTATTCAGTTTCCTTTCCTCTGTTTCTCTTATGCCTCTCAATTCTTCTCTCCTCTCTATCCTACTCTTGTCCCTCATTCTCTATCTCTTCTCTCTCTCTTCTACCTTTGTCAAGATCATTATATGGTACAACACATTGGTCCTTATAGTTTTATTGGATTTTGTTTCTAGTCCTTGTAGTGTTTTTTTTTTTTTGGGATTGACAACACTGAAACTATAGGAATCTGAGTAACAAACGTCACTTAATCTTGTTAAACTATCGGGACTGAAAACTACAGAAAGTAAAGGCAAAACTTGATGAAACTATAGCAATCGATAATTGTTTTCCCTCCTTCTCCCCTTCCCTTTTAGATTATTACTGAAGAGAGGATAATTGAATGAATCTAATACAGCTATTCTGTGCCAGTTGCATGCATTTGTTGAATATGAATCTGTCGAGCTTGCTGAGAGAGCAGTAAGTACTCATACTTTGGTGGACTGGCTAATTGTTTCAGCATATTTGACTTAAGTTGCCAAATATAACCACATATGTAAAAAGAATGATAATAATTGGCAGGTTGCTGAGCTTAATGATGAGAGGAATTGGCGGAGTGGCCTTCGGGTTCGTCTAATGCTTAGATGCATGGTATGTCACTTTTTTTTTTTTTGCTCTATTTTTATTCCTGTTTGCAGATTTTTTTACCACTAATCAAATTTGGCTTTTAGTTGAAGATGAAACTGGTGGCAGTCCACTTGTTGCAATATTCATTCATACATTGTGACATTAAGAAGTCATAGTTCAGTGTTATTATTTAATGGCCTTGTGTCTACAAATACATATCCTATTATTTTGAAACTGAGCAAATGAGGGAGGAAATATCTCCCTAGTATTATTGCAATCTAATGCGAGAAAATGAGAATCCCCCATTTTGTAGTGTTTAGTACCAAGCCCAATAGGATTTGACTACAATCCAGACTTTATTACATTAATGAAGTGATTTAATATTTTAATCTTTGTAAGGTATAACTTAGACTTTCAATGCTTACTACTAGTATCAACATGTGTGATCTGATTCTTTGAAAAAAAAAAAAAAAAGCGTGATTTGATAACACAGTATATGGTAGGATCTTATAATTTTGTGTTTGATTTTGACACCTTGGTTTATCATATAAAACAAAGCATTTGGTGCATAGAATGTAAAGAAAAATATAATGAAAATAGTTAGTTTGTGGATGATATTTTGGAAGAAGCGTTCAAGATTCCCAGAAATATTGTAACTTTGTCAGTGACTGAATATTTATATACTGATTCCAGTGATTTGATTCTTGTAATGAAATTTAGTCTTCATACCAAATGTCCCTCATGAGATAGCGCTGGTTTTTCAAATGAATAATTTCAGCAGAGTCAGATCTTCCAGTTGCGTTGCAGGAGTCTTGATAGTGTTTTTCTAGGGATTCCCCGGGCCGCTGCATGCTTTTCCTTTCTCTTGATGCCAACCAAAAATATATATATATAGACTTGTAATGTAATTTTTGTTGTTATTCTATTTATATGCTCTTTTGTGTTTTTGTTTTTGGTTTTTTTTTTCAATCAAGTCAAAACCTGCACAAGTGCGTGGAAAGAAGGGGCTTGAAGTTGAAGTGGAATGTGAGCAGGATTATACTTCTGTGCCTGAGCAAGAGGCTAATGAGAAACTATTAGAAGACTCTTACTTGGCGGATTCTAAACTGCATGAACCTGCAGTAAGTTCTTGAATATATTGATATCTTATTTTGTGCAATATATAAAGAGGTTCAAATGAGTTGTTGAAAAGCAGATGATGGTAACAAAAATTCTGTATTCATCGTAAAATAATTGAGAATCCTGAATGACATCAGTACCAGGCTAAAAAAAGGAGCACCTGTTATATGATTATGATAAATAAGAAAATAATTAAGATTTAATTAGGATTTAAATAGATTTAAGATTGCTTAAATAGATGTAGATACGATGATGATTTGGATGGGATTTGATATCTATTATTATTATTATTATTATTATTATTATATTAGTAGGATTTGGATTGATTAGGATAAATAATCATATGATAATAATGCCTATAAATAAGGGGCAATAGAGTATGTAATTTCAGACTTAGATTTCCAATGAGAATTACATATTTGAATATGTTCTCTTTATGTCTTTGTTTTGTTTCTCTATTTCCTCCCTCTTTATCTCTCTTCCAATCTAAATTCTATAACATTAGTATCAAAGCCATCCTTCAAGAGACTAAAGAGGATGGGTTTTGATTTAGAGCAATTTAGAGTATTGCTTGACAGTTAGAAGAAAGAAGTGTTGTATTGCATGAAACAGTGAGGGTGCCTAATAAACTTAAAGGAAAGTTTTATCGCACTGCTATCAGACCGGCAATGTTATATAGTAGTGAATATTGAGCTCTAACGGGACAGCAAGAGCATAAAGTTGGAGTAGCAGAGATGAGAATGTTACGATGGATGTGCGGACATACACGTAAAGATAAAATTTGAAATGAGCACGTACGCGAAAAAGTGAGGGTGGCACCTATTAAGGAAAAAATGGTAGAAAATCGGTTGAGATGGTTTGGGCATGTACAAAGAAGACCAAGGGAGGTACCAGTGAGAAGAGTGGAACATATAACTTTGAGTCCGATTAAGAGAGGTGGAGGAAGACCTAAGAGAACACTCTTGGAAGTTGTTGAACGCGATCTCTTAATTAATAATATTCCTAAAAGCTTGATAAATGATAGAGCACAATGGCGTCTTGCAATCCATGTAGCCGATCCCACCTAGTGGGATAAAGGCTTGTTGTTGTTGTTGTTGTTGTATTGCATGAAACACTATCAATCTTGAAAGAAGAGATAGCTTCCGTGCGGGAGGACTGGGAGGCTATGAAGGAGGTACATAAACAACTATTATATTAGTATAATTCTGATATATATATATATATAGAGAGAGAGAGAGAGAAATGGGAAGAAATAGAGGAAGAACATATAGAAGAGAGTTTCAGAGAGACTGAGAGAATGAAATAAAGAGGTGAGAGAAATTCACTTAGTGTGTGGGTAATCTTATTGATATCATAGCATGTGGGGATATTTAATGTTTATTGCCTCTTATTGTATAGCCTTTATTAGTATTTATTAGGCATTATTAGCAATTATTAGTGTTTATTCCCCTTTTTGTATTTATAGTCAGTATGTATTTTCGTTTTGTATCAATAGAAATGTTATTTTCTCCCAAATTCCACATGGTATCAGAGCTTTGAGTGGGAGAATGTGCCAAAAAAAAACAAAAGAATTAGGGTTTGAGCGTTAACGTTGGACCCAGAGAAGTAGTGCGAGGATGAGTGAGTCTCAACAAGGAGGGTGATCTAGATCTCATCGCCCACAATAGGACCTCTGGCAGCCTTTGATCAGCCCAACCCAAAACATCGTTGCCATTGGCAGCATGTGTGAGTCACAGCACCAAAGCTCTGTTCATTGTTAGGGAGTATACGGCGACATGTGGTGGTGCGTGAGGGATCCAAGTTGACAGCAATGCCTTCCTCTATTGATGGCGTAGCATTTCTGGCATGATTTTGACATTCGCCAAGTCTAAGGAGTCTTTTTCTAATGTTTCTCTGTTACGAGCTCTTTGCTTGGTTCTACAATTGTTTGTTCACATCATCTTTATGTGTGGGGCTGTGGTTTCTGACTTCTCTTTGTTATGAGAATATTTTTATAATTGGGGGAGTACTAATATGGGTCCTCCTAATATTGTCTCCATGCATAACTAGAAGTGAAGCTCAAGTCTTAGCAGCAAAAAACATCCGAAGATTCCACTGTATGGATCGTTTGAGTCAGGAGCACGTGATCATATGACCAATTGTCATCAATTGTTTACCACTTACATTTCGTGTGTTGGGAATGTTAAAGTGAAGATTGCAGATGGTTCTTTAGCACCTATAGCTGGAAAAGGGAGTATTCGAATTTTAGATTCTATAATGTTGGAATTTATACTCCATATGTCTAAACTTGATTGCAATTTGCTTTCGATTAGTTGATTGATGATGTAGTAAAATTGTTATGTTAAAATTTTCCTATCCCGTTGTGTATTTTAGGACCTATCATCTAGAACGACAATTGGAAGTGCTAAGGAGTATGGGGCTTTACTATTTTGAGATTTCCACTTGAGTGGTAACTCAATGATTGTCGATAACTCTATATCTACCTCTAAAGTGAATGCTTTTATGTTGTGGCATGAGAGGATGGGTCACCTTAATTTTAATTACCTTGAACAATTGTTTCCAACCCTTTGCCTAAACTTGAATATTAATGACATTCATTGTGAAGTGTGTGAAATTGCTAAACATCATAGAACTTCTTTTTTTAGAGCTACATACACACTTACCAAACCTTTCACAGCCATTCATAGTGACTTGTGGGGACTTTTTTGTACTCCCCACTGTACTAAAACAACATGGTTCATTTCCTTCATTGATGATCATACTCGTGTCTGTTAGGTCTACCTTTTAAGAAACAAGTCTAAGACTGCATCCACATTCATCAATTTCTTCAACATGATCAAAATTCAGTTCAACACCACCATCCAAGTCTTATATATAGATAATGGTACTGAGTATTTTAACCAATCTTTGAGTACTTTCCTTTAATTGCATGGTGTTGTCCGTACTAGTTTTTGTGCCCATACACCCCAACAAAATGGGGGTGCTGAAAGAAAAAATTGCCATATACTTGATGTTGCTAGAGCACTTACGTTTACTTGCAATGTGTCCAAATTTTATTAGGGGGATGCTATTTTGATTGCAACCTACTTAATCAACCATATGCCCAGTCAAGTCTTATCCTTTGAAACTCCTCTCCACAAACTGCAGAGTGTTTGCTTAACATCCCATATTGAAACTTAAGTTCTACTTCATGTGTTTGGTTGCACAACCGGTGTCCATAACCTCTAAAGCACCAAACTTGAACCTCGCATTATGAAATGCATTTTCCTTGGCTATTCTGCTATTTAGAAAGGATACAAATGCTTTGACCTTGTCTCACAACACACATTTGTCAGCCTTGATGTCACCTTTCATAAAGATACTTCATTCTCTCCCAATCCTTCAATTCAAGGGGAGACCATAAGTCAATCTTAGACTTGGGATCAAGCACCTAACCGAGAACTAGTGCTCCTTGAATTATGGTTTACACCAATTGAGCTAGCACTGCCGTCACCTCCACCAATTCTACGTGCACTACTATCTTCTCTTATGTTACAACTTGAAAGAGGAAGGGATGCAGAAAATCCATGAAAGGGAGAATTGCTTGTTTACACTCTGAAAAAAAATTGAAAGATAGTGATCAACTTGTACCTGAAACACCAAGAGAGTCAGAACTAGATGTAGATCCTAAAGCAGAAACTTATGGAGACATGGAATTTGGGGCAACTTTTGAAACACTAAAGATGGATGATATAGAACAAGTAAGTGAATCTATTAATTTTGATCTTCTTATTGCTTTGAGGAAGCAAAGTCATTCATGTACTTTTCATCCAATAGAGAGGTTTGTTTCATACAATGCACTTTCTCTTCAATATCCGTCCTTTATTGCTAATCCTGATAAGGTGAAGGTACCTAAGACTGTACAAGAAGCTCTAAGCATCCTTGAATGGCGGAATGTTGTCATGGAAGAAATGAGGGCCCTAGAAAAAAGATGGGAACTGGGAACTTATTCAGCTACCTAAAGGAAAGAGTATAGTGGGTTGCAAGTGGGTGTTCACCCTAAAATACAAGGCTGATGGAACTCTTGGCAAGTTAAAAGCACGCTTGGTGGCAAGAATATTTACTCGAACATATAGCCTGGACTATGAAGAAAGATTTGCTCCAGTGGCAAAATTGAATACTATCAGAGTTTTGTTATCTGTAATAGCTAATCTTGAGTGGTTTCACCAGCTTTATATAAAAAATCCATTTCTAAATGGAGAGTTAAAGGAAGAAGGCTTTGTGACTCAACCTTTTGGGTTTAATAAAGGTAGAGAAACTCAAGTCTATAAACTGAAAAAGTCTATATATCTTTTGAAATAGTGATTAAGAGCTTGGTTTGATCGGTTCTCAAAAGTCCTAAAGTTCGGAGGTTATAGGCAAGCCCCGTTAGATCATATACTGTTTGTTAAAGTTAAGGGAAGCAAGAACTGCATCCTTATTGTCTATGTCGATGATATAATGCTTACCAGAGATAATCTTGAGGAGATAAAGGTTGGCTTGGGCAAGGAGTATGAAGTCAAAGATCTCGGGAAACTAAAATACTTCCTTGGGATAGAAGTTGCTTAGTCACGAAGAGGAATTTATGTTCCTTAGCAAACATATATCCCGGATCTTTTGAAGGAGACAGATATGTTGGGTTATAGACCTTATTGAAACCCCTATTGAGATCAAGAAATTGAAGAAGCAGCCTAAGAAAAAGAGGGAAAAAGGAACAGATCCGTTGGGGGAAGAAAAATTGGATGAGGAAGGCAATGAAGAAGAGGAGGAAACCAAAGAAAAGGAAGAAGCAGCTGACAAGGAACGATATCAAAAACTTGTTGGAAAACTAATATATTTTTCCATAAAGATCGGATATGGCATTTGCTATGAGTGTAACTAGTTAATATACGAGCAACCCAATAGAGAGCCATATGGAGGCAGTTTATAGGATTTTGAGATATCTATAAGGTACTCTTGGTAGAGGGTTGTTCTTCAGAAAACATGTGAATAGATCTAGTGAAGTTTACACTAATGTAAGTTACGGTGGAACATATAGAGATTAAAGGGCAACCTCTGGCTATTGTTCATTTGTGTGGCGAAATTTAGTTACATGGAGAAGTCAAAAGCAAAGCGTCGTGTCAAAAAGCAAAATCTGAGTTGAGAGCTTTGGCTCAAGGAATAATAGAGGAATTATGGTTGAGATAAGTCTTAAATGAAATACAAGTTGAAACAAACTCACCATTGAAACTTTGCTTTGATAATAAGGCTATCATAAGCATGGCCTTAAATCTAGTGCAACATGACAAGTCCAAATGTGTAGAGATAGATCGATGCTTTATCAGAGAAAAAGTGGAAGAAGGAATTCTATGTTTGACGTATATGCCAACAAAGTTGCTAGCAACTAGTGTTTTGACTAAAGGGTTACTTGGGCTTGCTTTTGAGAATTGCATAAGGAAGTTGGACATAATTAGCATCTATGACCTAACTTGAGGGGAAGTGTGGGAATATTTAATTTTTATTGCCTCTTATTGTATAGCCTTTATTAGTGTTTCGTGGGTATTATTAGCAATTATTAGTATTTATTCCCCTTGTAAGTATAGTCATTATGTATCTTCATTTTGTATCAATAGAAATATTATTTTCTCCCAAATTCAACATAGCATGAGGGATTTACAAGCTATCTCTTAGTATTTATAGACTTCTTATCCCTCTAACTACCCAACAACCAATGTTTTCAAAACTGAATCGGATATTAAACCGAAAAGGCTAGCAATTCATGGTTAGCATGGCCAATCGAGTTGGTTGGACCAAATGATCAAACTGATAACGTAATAATTAAATTAAAAATTTTTTATTTGTATATAATAATTTAAATATAAAAAATAAATGTGAAATTGCTATTTAACTTAAAAATAAAACTAAATATTTTAAGTTTATCATGACTTATAAGCCACTGATATAATATGACATCAAATGGTTAAAAAAAATTGATCATTTTGTTAAAAAAATTTAAAAAAAGAGAAAATGGTGCTTTTTTAAGTGGTTTGGTTTTTGAAAATTGGATCCGGTTCCTAGTTCGACCGCCTGTCCAAAGCGGCCCAAACCCTCAAACGGTTTTTTCATGTTGGCCGAGTTGAAATCCGTACCGGTTGACGGTCTGACTATCTAGTTTGGTCCAGTTTTTTAATCATTGCCAACAGCAATTTCCCTTAATCAACTCTATAACTACCTAACAGTAACTATTCTTTCAATATTACAATTGCATAACAGCACCCTTTGGCAGTCTTGTGCTTTTTTGTTAATTCTCGGTTTTCAAAGTTAGGAAGATTGTTGTTTTCAATTGGTCAGAGGGGCGTCAGAATTGATTCCTGGGCAAAAACTTAAAAGTGAAAAAACTAATGTTTGCATTTCGCAACACGGCATAGTTACAAGAATGTCCTTATTGTGAAATGATGTTTATTTTATGAATGCTCCTTTTGGGTAATTTGACAAAGCACTGATTTTTATATTTTTACTGTTGGTAACAGTAATGCTAGACTGGTGATCTCTTTGTAGCACTGGTAATTTTCTAGATAGTGTTCAGCAAATGTGAAGTGATCCCTACTTTCTTGCAGATTAAATTTGGAGATTTGTCTGTGATTTCAAGTGTAGTTAATGCAGGGGCACTTCATTTTTTTTTTTTTTGGTTGAAAAAGAAAGCTAGCGATCCCAAATTCATCGTAAGATGATCGCATGAGTCAATCAAACGCACTAAAATTTCGTTTTAATGAGATTATTTAAAGCAACTTGGTTAAAAATTGTGCGATTTGTTCGATGCTTTTGCTTGAGGCATCCATTTTTGTAGGACATGACCTTTTTTCGGCTGTATCTGAAGTGTCTTTTATTTGGCAGGGGGAAGAGCATAATTTTGACAGGGAGAGTGGCCAGAGGAAGGGTCGTAGCAGGGGACGGGGCAAGGGACGAAGCCGATCTCATTGTCACCAGTTGTTTAGTCGCACCAATCACATAGGAACCCCACCTTCAAATAATGTGATTCCTGTCGAGCAAGTTGTGGCCAAGCAACCTCCTGGACCTCGTATGCCAGATGGCACGAAAGGATTTTCAATGGGTCGAGGCAAGCCAGTAGCTGTTGATATAGTGTAATGCCGTGGGATTAGATTCAGGCTGGTAGTGGGTTGATGTTATTGTGAATTAGAGTGTCAATCTTGCAGTGGGGAATAGTTAGCATTGCCGTCTCTGGAGCAAAGCAGTTATTTTGCTCATATATATATATATATATATATAGTGTATTAAAAAAAAAAACGTGTGGGAGCGGATTATAGCATAAGAGAGTAGAAGAAAGGGATTAAAGGGAGCATAAACAATGGAGCTACCAGGGTAATTTTTTTGTTCAAGACTTTTGTGATAATGAATTGTTATTATTCTTGTCCTGTCATTTTAGGTCATTTTATATGAAAGACGTGATCGAATTCTTGTCTCGGAACTACGGTCGATACATGGCTCCAAAGCAATATGAGAGACGTTATATAGTTAAGGGTATACGTGTATATTTTGTTCATAAAGTATTGCGCGAGGGGCATCTGTCATCTTAAACTAAGCAAAAGGGTGATGTCCCTTGCAAGGTTTTTTAATCGGTGCAATGTTACTCCGTTTTAACGGATTTGGATAACGCTGGTTGATATGCTTGGTACCCACGAAGCAACGAGACATGAGCAAGGAAGAAGAGAACTCATTTGACACGGTGGATTGGAAGAGGGACACGTAGATGAATGCACTTAACTGAGGAATGGATTAAAAGCAAGTTCAAAGACCAAGAGTTAATAAGAATGAATAGAAATTAAGGAGAACATTTGAAAATAAATAAATTAACCGGGTGATGTTAACTAGATTTAACTTGGGGATAATTTCAAAATTTTTAAAAAATAAAACAAACAAACAAACATATAAATGAAATAAAACAAAGAAATAAGAATAAAATAAATAAAACAATATAATATAAAAAAAAGGGGCCACAGTTTTTATAGTCGGAGAAACAAGCTAAACTTGTAGAACCGATCCTTTTGAGCTCGATAATTGTTAGGGTTAGACTTAAAATTTAGATCTTCAAAACATAAAACGAGCTTATAAGATTATTTTTAATTGGCTAAGGGTTTAAAAGAGATAGACTTGTAGAGTTGAGGGCTAGTCCATTTAAGCTTTTTTGTTTATTTATATTTTAAATATTAGTTATTATACTAATATTATTGATATTTTTGACATTATTGATAATATTTTGAACATGTGGTTGTTATTGTAGTTTTTTGAAAATTGAACTTTACATAATAATTTGGTTTGTTTAATTCCAAATAATGATTTCTTTATTCAAAATTTAAAAAATTACTTGATTTAATTTAAACTAGAGAATGATTTGACTTATGTTATGCATGTGTGTTAATATTTTTAAATTATATTTTTGACAATGGAATATTTTTACACTTATACAATTTGATATTGTATGATTTGAATTAGAAATTTATAAATTTAATATTTTATTACTTGAAATAGGAGTTCTTTTGCCTAATAATAATGCTAATGTTGTTATTAATGTTTAAACGTAATTGTCTTATTGAGATTTAGAAAAGAATCATTAGATTTAATCAACTTTTAACAATGATTAATCCTTAAGTTTGTTAATACTCCTTTCGGTTCTTATTATATGACATTTTTAGTCGTTTCACACATCTTAGTAAAAAAAATTTTTTCTAATATCATAAAAAAGTGAGATATATTTTCATTTTTACCTTTGATTTTAAATAATAATACAACTACATTAACTATCTTTATGTTAATCAAGAAAGGATAAGGCTAGAAAAAGTAGTTTAATTATTGCAAGGTATCTTATATTTTAGACCAAAAATTATTTCTAAAAAGTGTTCTATAAATAGGACCAGGGAGAGTATTTATGATATGAATTCAAAATTTTATAAATTTGTTTTTTATTTTATATGTTTACTTAAAAGAGCAAAAACATTTAAAAAAATATAAAAGGGCCTGAAACTTATAAGGCTGGCCCTGGGCTTGTGAAGTCAAAGACTGAGCTTTATAAATGAGACCCTTTTTGCATAAACGGGTTTTTCAAGCCCAACCATTTCAAGCCCGAGCTCATTAAGGGCTAGGCTAACCTATTTTCCTACCTCTAACAGTTTTGAACTATTAGAGGAAGTATTACATATTAAAACAAAACTAGTAAAGTACCCATGCTTTGCACGGGTCTAATATTAAAGTTTTTATAAATACATGTCAATCTTGTAGGAAAATCTTTCTCGAAAGAATAGCTTGTAGTATACCATCTTCAATACTCTATATCATCCTATACGTAGCGGGACTATGTAATTATCATTTTTTATGTTAAGTAAATGTAAAAGCTAAATGAATGCGATGTTAATAGATATGATAAGAAGCAAATTAACAAAATTGCATAATTAATTAGATCAAATTATTGAAGACTTCCCTATAAATAACATTAGAAGTTCTGTCTATGGTGAGTAGATCAATCATTCTCATCAAGAACTAATATTTTTAAAACTTCCATGCTTCAAACATGAGAAACAGGAACATATAATTGGCTATATGTGAAAATAGGCACGAGCTTTAGCCCTGGCTCTTATTAAAGGTCATTGCAAAAGCTGATATAATAGAAAACTGCATTCTTCTTACAGCAAATAGAAACCTAAAATTGGTAGTTGACTCAAACATTTCTTGGGCCTCAATAATATGTTTTCTAATCGTGTAAACTATGAGACGTGTACTATAAACAACCTCATAGACTTATCAATGTTCCGCATTAAAATAATCAGGGCACCAACTTTCAGCCTTATTTCATGATTCAGGAGCCTAATATTATAATTAAATTTAGAAAATTTATAAAGTGTAAGTCATCAAGTGAATTTATGTCCCTATTGTCTTTTGCAACACTATCAAAACTTAAGCATACAACTCCTATTCAAGGATCATGGACAACATGTACTTATTTACTTCTTCAGCCACAATCAACGCAAAGGCTAAAACAACCCTATCTCTAAAACGTGAAGAATTATGGATATTGTTAACGAAATTTGAGAAAGTCAAATCAACAATGAACTTTATTGAATTATTTAAATCATCTAGTAACAAATCATCTACAATCTTAATGTGCATATTTCCTTCATTAACTCCAATAGCAGTTCCATCATCAATTAAGATATTCTAATTAGTAAAATCTTGAATAGTATTATTAGATGTTATATTATTTGTTGCCATAAATCTCATGTTTCTTGTTAGTAAAAAAATTGACAATTATCTCAAATGTCTGAAGAGTTAATGGTAGCAAAAACAATGTCTTCTCTAGATCCACTTGGAATAACATAAAGAATTTGCTTGAAATTTTCACCAAACACGGTAATTTTTCCTCCAAATGGAAGATTAGCAACCAATGAGTTACTGAACTTTGAGAATATGTTTTAAGCATTTGCCAAGAGCTTCAAAACAAAACTTATGCGATATTGGAGCCTCATCCTATATAATTAATGACACGTGAACTAAAAATTTAGTGAAGTTACTTCCTTGTTTTATGCTAGTGTCTTCTGTTATAGAATGAAATACAAAATTGTGAGTGAGCTGTTCGTTCTCCTGAAAGCAATAAAGAAGCTATCCTACTTGATGTTAAATTAAGAATAATTTTACCTCTAGATCATAATGAAGTAAAGAATGTCCTTTAAGCATACATTTCCCCAATACCACCATATCCATAGAGGAAAAAAGTTTCTTTTTTATTAGATGCGACAGCAGCAATGATTTTATCATAAATTATCCTTTATTTAGAAGCTAGTGTCTAAAGCAATCTTTCCAATTTAACAGATAATGTAACACTATCATAATTTAGTTTTTTTCTGCTCTCATTTGCATCTAAGCTTGACATGTTAGCTAAAAGCATAGGCTCATAATCCATGAGACTTTTCCCATTAGATTGAAGTAGTTTCTCAATCTCAATTAGTGTAAAGTTCATAAATCAGCCTCATCTAATTGTAATCTTGTGAAAAGAATGTTGTTACATCAATAGTGTTGTCCGATAATTTATATAAATTCTACCGATATTATTAAATTGTAGAAAAAATTAAAGAAGGCAAATGTAATTACTACATAGTGTGGCATCTAGTAATATTTTTTGCCTATTCATAATGTCATCTGATAAGAAGACCTATGTATTATCTCGAACAACTTCTAGTTGAGAAAAAGAATTACAAATAAGAGTACTGTAAAACAACCTTGTTAGAAATTATTCTAATGCTCACTAGCTTGCTTCTCTAATACTATCAATATATTCCTTGTCATTGTCGGATAACCCCAGTGCATAATAGGCATCTCTAAAAGTAGGGAAAATGACTTCGTCAATGGTACATATACTCTTATAGGAAGTACAACCTTTAATGATGGTTAGCAGGATGTGCTAACAATACAATTCACTACTACTTAAAGGGGTACAATACAATCTTCTGATTTAAAAACCGTGCTTCCTAGTTGCCACTTATATGGATATTTCTTATAAAAAAAATTTGGTTAGAAATTCAAGATATGTTAAGCCCTTAGCCTCATTATTATCCTCATTATCATTAGCATAGAACCATGCCTTAAGCATTGTAATCTTTCCTACACTATGATTGACAACTAAATCTATATTTTTTGTTGTTTAATTATTCATTCCTTCCTCTTCTAATCTTCCTCATTCTGTTCTAGCATCTTTGTCGTTTTAGTACGCTGCTATTAATGAAGGGGTGAGTTTTGGATATCATCAGGTTATTAGTTTTTAACTATTATAGACACACATTTTTGTTTTCCAAAATGAAAGTGAAGAACTCCAAAAAAAAAAGAAAATATGTACATGGTATTGTGATTGAATTTGCAACAATACCATGTGAAGTGATTTGAGAAAAGAAAGAGTTTTATTGATTTTTCTTCTCCTTCCTCATCTTCTTTTTACTTATTTAACCTTTTTTCTTTAATTCCTTACTTAAAGATAATAAAATAATAATAATAATTGTTGTTGTTAAAGATAATAAAAATAAATTTTAAAAAAAATAATATTTTAATGCAAGCATAAAGATAAATATAAGATTTTTTTAAAAAAATGCATATGTTAATGCGTTGGGTTGAGGAAAACATACTTCATTAAAGAGCGTAACTTTTCAACCTGTACTTACTGACTCGTAACCTGTGGGTTGGCCCATTTTTTCAACTCTATTATTAATTAAAGTTGTGCAAATCAATCTAGTGGCTCTTGTCTAATTGTAGTCATGTGAAAATCTAAATTAATTGATAGAAGATATGCTTAAAATAATTAGATCTTATATTCTTTCAGTCCTATTTATAAGTCACTTTCAACATCTCTTATTAAAATCAAGAAAAACTTTAAAACTCATTAATTCAATCTAAAAAATTGACAAATGTTTAACTTTGCCCATATTAAAT